CTATAAAAAAATCTGAGCAGAGTAAACTATTTACCTCAAAAAATAATAACATATAAACATACTTTTCGTTTCTCGAAATGTCTTCTGACTTTCACATTGAACCTCATAGCATTGATGTAAAACGGTCATTACAAGAAATTACTGAATTGGCCTGACATGGCCAGGGGATTAGGGCGCTTGACTCGTAAACTGAGGGTTGCGGGTTCGAATCCCCATCCCACCAAACACGCTCACCCTTTCAGCCTTGAGGGCATTATAATGTGACAGTCAATCCCCTTATTCGCTGGTAAAAGAGTAGCCCACGAGTTAGCGTTAGGAGGTGATGATTAGCTGCCTTACATCTAGCCTTTACTGCTAAATTAGGGACGACTAGCGCAGATAGCTCTCGTGTAGCTTTGTGCGAAATTCATACCAATTACTGAACTCTATCAAAACTAGTATTTATTTTTAGCAATCTTGAGATTCACGTAATCGAAAATACAAAACAGTACATGAATAAAACAGCTATTTTTCTTCTTCTTCACACACACACACACATACATTTCATATATATGTGCTTAAGTTTCGGTTTGAAAATCGCTAATATAAGCATAAAAATAACCTCAAACAATCGCCATTTCAGACCAATATCGATCGTGTTAGGTAATCAACAAATTGAAAAAAATGACACGGATAAACAATAATAAAATAATTAAATGCACAAGAACTTCTGATAGTTTTATTTGCGAATGACTCTTAGTGGGTTTTAACACGAGAGACTGATATCCATAATGCAAAATAACAATATCACCACAGCAAAATAGTAAGACTGTGCACTTATAATCACATTAGTTTAAAGGTTGAATGTATTTTAAAATGCCGTAAAGAGTAATAATTTTAGAACGAGATAACAAAAAATTGTTCATCTAAAAACATGTTGAAACAGAAACATGTTGAATCAAAATGTAAAGATTATATTTTCTAGTTCTACAACTAGAGACTTTAAAAAAGTAAACAAACTAGGCTGGAAATAGTGTCTACGTTATTTTCTCAAGCTATAAATTCCTATTTTGACTCCATGGTTATCTGCTATGTCCACCGAGGGGAATCGAACACCTGATTTGAACGTTGTAAGTGCGAAGACTTACCGCTGTCCCACCGAGAAACTCAAAATATCTATTTGTAGCTTGAGTTGTCCCTAGTTGTAAGCTTAAAAATATAATCTTTGCAATTTGATTCAACTCATTTCTATACTTTTTGATGATCCCCATTCTCACTTTTAAATTAACAATTTCTAATTATTTTGCTTTTTAGCCTGGCATGGCCAGGGGGTTTAGGGCGCTCGACTCGCAATCTGAGGGTCACGGGTTCGAATTCCCGTCCCACCAAACATGCTCGCCCTTTCAGACGTGGGGGCATTATAATGTGACGATCAATCCCACTATTCGTTGGTAAAAGAGTGACCCAATAGTTGGCGGTTGGTGGTGATGACTAGCTATTCCCTCTAGTCTTACACTGCTAAATTAGGGACGGCTAGCGCAGATATCCCTCGTGTAGCTTTGCACAAAATTCAGAACAAACAAACTTGTTTCTTAAGTATTTTATGTCCATTTATGGAGAACAAAGTTTATGCTACATATGTGCATATGCATTCAGTTGAACGTGCCATGTTTTTCAACATTTTACTGCTGCATTGGCTTTTTTTTCCAACCAACCATTATTTACTGAGCCAGGTGGTTTTGTGCTTGAGGTTTCGTGTAAACACGCGTTTAACAAGCGAAGTATGAAAATCAGTAGAATAAATCACCACTCACAAGAGTAGAGAAATCTACTATGGTAATCGTCTACTGTTAAAAAACTCACTTAAATAGTTGCAGAAAACCTTATAGAGACAAAGTACAACAGGGAACTCGAGAAACAATGAAGAATACAAACTCGAGAAATTATCAATCCTCAACGTAGCAGCTTCTAATTAATGCCCTTTATTAAAACACCGGATTTTTTTCCAATGGCAGAAAGTGGAGGACTCAGAGAAATTCTTCAGAGCGAAAAAACGAAGGGGTTTGAATTAATTTGAAAACTACCTTTTGACATACTCAATACTGCATTCATTACTATTGTCCGGGTTTCAGTAAAATATTTGTAGCCGTCGTTTCTGTAGCGGCTTGTAAAACTATATCAACAAAGCTGGAGATACCGTTATAAATATACAAATTGTTTACTCTAATAAAACGAAGCGTTTCCGACTAGTATACAAAGGAGCATTTCTGACTAGTATAACAGTGCTTAAATGGCTTATACATTTCTGCGATGCTTGAATGGCTTCGAAGAGCTTATGTTGGTAGCGAAGAAGAACTTAGAAATTTTTAGAGGGTGGAATACTTGACTTTCAGGAATCAACCTTAAAATAGCCCTATAACCTTCGCAGTAGTTTGTTTAGTAGTTGTGCATAGATTTTGGCGCAGCATGCCTAGCTGTTTTTCTGTAGGCTTCCTTGAATGGCTTCGAAGAGAAACCTGGCCAGTAGCAATGAAATAACTGATAGTATGTCTCCTTCTCTTTCAAGAATCAACATAAAAATAGTCCTATGACCTGTGCAGAGGTTTTTTTAGTAGGTTCTCCCAGGTTTGAATAACAATTTCATAAGCGTTTACTCTGTAGGTTGTGAAACAACAACAACAACATTAATAATAATATGAAGAACAAATGGAGGCATTTTGAATCTTGTCTAACAGTCGGAAAATAAGCATTTTTGTTATTATCAATATTTTAACAACTCTTAGTTATTCAGATAGAAGGTCTTGAGTGTTTTTTCAAAAACTTGTCTGCTTTTTAAGATAGTTTTTGCCCATATGCTCTATTAGAATTTTTGTGAAATTCCTGGGCAAACCCTATTATGAACCATTATCGTGGTTCATGATATCATTAGCACCATTAAGTGGGGGTGAATAATAAATATATGGAAAGCACTTAACAGTTGTAATAATCTACAAATTCAGTAAGTTTGTAGATGTTTTCTATTCTACAATATCTATCTGTCATATGTGTAATCAGCCGAATAGTTTCTTATCAATCGAAAAGTTTCTGACTCATAAGTTAAACTGTAGTGGAATTATGTTGTGCATTTGTTTAAAATGTTGTGAACGGGCTAAATAATCAAAGTGCTGAGGTTTTTCGAAAAGTTAAACTAAAATAGGCTGAACCATTAAGATAATAAAAAGTTTAACTTTTCGAAAAACCTCAACACTTTGATTATTTTAATGGTTCAGTCTATTTTAGTTTAACTTTTCGAAAAACTTCAGCACTTTGATTATCTTAATGGCTCAGTCTATGCTAGTTTAACTTTTGAAAAACCTCAGCACAAAATAGACTGAACCATTAAAATAATCAAAGTGTTGAGGTTTTTCGAAAAGTTAAACTGAAATAAACTGAACTATTAAAATGTATTTTACGTGTAAAGGTTTTATATGGCTTTCCAAACGATAGAAATAGTTTATGTATTAGATAATACATTATAACATAACGTGAGTTGTGTAAGTGTTCATTTTGATTTATAGGAACTAAACGTATCATTATAACGCACTCTTTGGGTTGACATAAGGCCCACTTTAACTTGAAAAATAAGTAGTCATGGGAAAGAATAGTTAAAGTACCGGGAGAAATTGCTCCAGATATGCAAGTTGCAACTGTAAAATAATCGAAAATTGAAAATATTTGTACATCTGTGTATGTGTGTTTTATAAAAAACCGATCGTCTTAGAAAACAGGAAAAAACTGAATTTAACTATCTTTGAGATTTCAACTGCACAAATCAGAATTTAGAACCGTATTTATATATATATATTTAAAACAATTACAACAGGTCTGACATACTAAAAATACGATAAACAAATCGTTCAATATAATTTATGGTTGATGACAAAGCTCACGATTCAGTTAGGAAAGTATTATTTTACAATACAATTTTATTTGATATAAAAGAGAAAATCGGTGTCGTACATGTATCGTTAGATAAGCTAATCGTGATGTTTCATACTTCCATACCCTAATAAATGATAACGATCACTTTTAATTACTAGGTTGAATCGAAATTCAAGCCATAACCAAATTCATTTATTCTGTTAAACATGCTCTTCCAAATTCTGGTTCCATGCACCACCTGGCGCATAGAAATATTATTAAAAAACTCTAGCATCTGTTATTTACCCAGAATCTTGGTGCTCCGTTGTTGACAAGGACTCCCCACGCGACAGAGTATCTTCACAAAACTCTTCATACGAGAGTATTTAAATGGATAATGTGGTAGCCCTCCGTAACTCCCTCTTTACCTTGTTGTTCAACTCCCAATGTTTCAAGTGCTTATTGACAAGTCTTTTAATTTCCATTAAAACTACGTAAGCCACCTGGAAGTTTCTCGTGTCCTAGGAGTGTAGTTTATTTAACAGCACACTTAGAAGTAGTCTGTCAGTCTCAGAAGAGCTATTTGTGCTTTAACGACTCGTATGACAAATGACTTTTTACCACACCTGTTCTCAAGTTTATAAATTCAATTACTATCTAACACTTCTTTATCTTATGTATTATAAGCTAATGACTTCGATATTACATACAAAGAGCGTATAAATTTAGATATCTTATATTATCTTACTGCATGTCATTATTAAAATTATTTAATTCAAAACTAAGGTGGGATTAGCTACGTTTTAGACAAAATAGAGTTCAGACTTGTTGGAAAATAAGAAATATTATAACATTTAAATTAAGTTCTGTAGTTTCGAGCCTAAAATTAAACAATACTTCTTAAATAACTAAAATTAGAAAACTGATACTTATCTTATTAGTAATTAATATCATCGTGTAAAACAAATTCGAAGATGCACACAAGTAGTTAAAAAAGTTAAAAAAACAACAAGTTACTACCAATTTCAAAGTGAAGTTCAAAGTTTGAATGACAAGATAATATTGATTGGTCCTAGAATTTTTTAGTATCTTCTCATTAATTCATTTTTTCATTTTTACAGGAAGTGGTCAGATTCAGCTTTGGCAGTTCCTATTAGATCTGCTTTCTGATTCTGACAATACCAACTGCATTATATGGGAAGGAACCAACGGAGAATTCAAACTCACAGATCCTGATGAAGTTGCTCGCCGCTGGGGGGCGCGTAAGTCGAAACCGAACATGAATTATGACAAATTAAGCCGAGCTTTACGATATTACTATGACAAAAATATAATGACTAAAGTACAAGGGAAAAGATACACGTACAAGTTTGATTTCCATGGTTTGACTCAAGCTCATCAGCCTAATACAGGAGACACCGCAGCTTGTAAGTTACTCTTTCCGGCATACCATTTTAATACAGTAAACATAGATCATTTGAGTGCTAGATCTATGGGACTTACCAGTAATTCTCAACCTTCTCTGTTTGGGTCAGCAACGGTTCCTGGTCACTACTGGTCAACTGGACCATCTGATTCCTGTAATCTGAACCCATACATTCCTAGTCATACTATTCCACGTCTTGGTCATCGAGCAAACGGATTAGGTAGTTATTATGCATGATAACGCTGATGGATTATGAAGAAAATAAAATTCTAAAATAACTCTGAGCATATCATGTCGACAAAATCTCAACTAAAACTAGCAGCAGCGTCGAAGAACTTCGTTATGCTGAACATTATTTTGACCAAACTATGAGTTAGTGTTATTTGAGTACGGAGTTACACATCGAATGTGATCCCTTTTGCGTCAAAATTAATTAAACCTATAGCATTCAAATTATAGTTTTGTAGACTTTGAAATGGCACACTTATTTGGTTCTTTACATTTATAGTGACTTGAATCAGACGAGAAAATTAGTAAAATAATGTATTGGTGAGAGATGAAATGAACCACTGTACGAATAAAGTACGTTCAAATGGTATAACTTCGTATCTCATTTATTTATGTATACCTTAGTTTGGAAAGCTTTTTCATGTTGTATTTATTACTTGAAACTTACAAGAATAAAATACAGTTTCTCAATTAAAATATCATTAGTAGTAACTGAACCTAAAAGATAACTTGATTTTACAAAAAATATGAAGAGTAATTAATAAAGCGAAAACATTTTTTTCTCTATCTTAAAATTAGGAAGAAAAACAGCTTTATCATCAAAGTTCCTTTATATATCTCTTGTTATACTTATTAAGTGGAAAAAAAATGGTGTGCGGTTCGTAGATTTTGTAGTTCTTCCCAGAAATTATTTTGCATCTTTTATATTCTGTCTAATACATTATCTCTTAACATTTGAGTTGTTTCAAGGACCGTAACATTGAAATTGTCTTTGCGTATACTTCCATATTTATCAACATATTTTGTTTTACCCACTATCATGCCCCAAGTTGAACAAAAAATGTAGCCTAAATAACTAATGAATTAATATTTGCTGTAAAATTATTATCAATGCTATAAGTGTAGTTACCAGTTTTGCTGTCAATTTTGATTTCATTCCTTTAAGTCGTACGCTCAATCCTTTCTTTTTTTTTCCGCACCTCTTTTTTCACACTTAAGGTGTTTTTGATTAGATATCATGACATTTTGTCCAATACACACCAATAAACCACAGCAAGTAAGAAAGTGACACTCGATAGTAACCTTAATTAGGTTTAGGATCGCACCCTATTATTCGGAACACGCCTTTACTTTACAGAACCAACCAGATTCTTTAAAATATATGGTGGTAGTTTTTTCTCTCTAAAATAGTGTTAA